TTCACCAAATACACATTCTTTATCACTACACGTACAGCAGAAAATACACAAGCGCTTTTATATGGTGTATATATTATTTGAATTACTGTTTAAGCACGTTATCGACAACGGTATCTTTCAAAGCCGGAAAATGTAGTATGTGATATACTCAAATTAACAGACATTGGTCACTCCTACATAGAAAACAGTTATACGTCATACCTGCACTGGGATTCCCAGGCTTTTTATTGCAGAGTCTTAATCATTAGCTATTTGTGCGCCAGAGAGGAAATTTCTGGAATGGCATCATAAATAAGAATACAATTTTGTTTTAAAATAGCAAGGGAACCCCATTTTATTTATTATATATAAGACATCAAAAATCAAAACAAGATTATTACCTTTCGTACCCGATTTGACAGCCTCAACATGTCTCACAACATAGTTAAACTGTTATCTCAGCTCAGTGATGGATCCATGCGAAATGGAGAAGAACACCTTGACAGAAAATGTAAAATACAACAGGTGCCATGTCTTCTCAATGAACGAACATTGGCATTTGCATCTGTCAGAAAATGCAGATGTGAAAGATACAAAGACAAGAGCGACGCATTGGTGTATACCAATGTTGAAGTTCCCCAGGATGGCATTGATATGCACGTTCACGAGAACTGTAAATACGAGATCACAGAAACTTTTGACAAAAAAGGAAAAAGAATATTCAAGATTGAGCTGGTATGTTATTGCCACCAAAACAGAAGCAGGCGTCCTGGAGAAATGAACGAACCTTAAGCGATATCAAACATACAAGGACATGGACAGATAACGTGAAGCGGAAAGTATATTTGGTTAAGAATTCAAGTGCAAACCAAATCACGCCTGGTGTTCAGTTTGGAAAGCGAGAATACACAGCGGAAAAACAACAACCGGACAATCAACCAGTCGCGAGGACGTTATAAAAGCGACCAGACGTGTGGACCTGTTGATCTGAAAACAGAAAGATACATGGATGACGAATAACAAATGAATGAACAAGCTGGATAACATAACTAACAAATCAAGAATGAAAATGTATGGATATTCGAAAAACCAGTTTAGTTAAAGCGTTTTTCTGACAATTAAAAAGTACTCTTTCATATAATTAAAACTGGATAAGTTGAATTGTGGAACTGTGTGAGGTGTCATCTGAACCAGTGAATGGACACGATTAAAACATTGATAGACACGATGATAAACAAAGGTATTTCCTGCAAATATTATTGTAATTAAATTGATATATATTGTTTTATTGGTGATTTGTTTTAAACATGACATTGATATTTTGTTGCAATAAATCAGATTGAAAGTAATGGGATTTTGTGTTATTTGTTATTTACGTGCGTTATGATTTAAACCAAATATAAATATATAAAGACTTAGCGTTGTCTATTAGCGAGGTCTATGTGTGGGCGGAAACTATATACATTTGGATTTTAACGCATGCTCAGAGAATGCAAATGCATGCACTTGAGAGGCTAGTCTACTTGGCGAGTTCTATAATTGGTAATTCATATAAAGAACTGAATTAGAAAGGTATATCCTGACACGATTGTGAACTACATAACAAAATACATTATAATTAATCAATTTATGAGTGAACGTGTACCTTAACTGAACTATGTCTTACAATGTATTTGCCAACGCGAGTGATAAATCAATGGGAGGCGAGGTTCACTTAGACAAGAAATGTACTTTTACGAAAAGAGAAAATCTTTTACTTTATAGGAAGTATTCATGCCACGCATTTTTTCGACAATGTGTTTGTGATGGTCAGCACACTGACAAGAGTGGTGAGCTCCAAAAGTTGTCCTACCCTGGTGTGCATGTTCCTCAAGATGGAATTGACGTACATGGCGACGAAAAGTGTACGTATCGTGTTACTAAAAAGACAATGGATGATGGAAGCACAGGGTGGGAATTTGAATTAACTTGCTCCTGTTCTAGGACAAAAACATCTGGGCGCACAGATGCAACCGAAACAGGGTAAATTCAAACAGCTGCCGAGGTATATTGAACTGCAAAACACAGATGCAAATAGCGTCAATACAAACTGATATAGACCTACATTCAGAATTTGCAACACGCATCTGACCTGGACGTATACTATGGGAAACCAGCGAAACATTATCTACGGAAAGACTTCATGTATAAAGATATAACGAAATAAAAAAAGAAACCGCGTAGATGTGAACAACTCATCTTGTGTTTGGAATTAACTAAACTCACTTGTAAAAACATTATTTGCACGGAGGTACGGTAGTCTAGTGGTAGGACGCCGGGCTCGTGACCGAAAGGTTGCGGGTTCGAGCCACGGCACTGTGTTGTATCTTTGAGCAAGATACGTTTCACCGATTGTTCCAGTCTACTCGGCTGTTAAAGAGTACGTGGTTGGGTAGTGCTAGAACTGTTGAATGCTAGCTGTGAGCGCAAAATGTGAGTTGAGATAGATGTTGGCTGGTTGCAAAGGCCCTATAACCACGGAAAATAATTTGCGAACCGCTTTGAGACGACCTACGAACTACTTTGTGATAAAGCGGTATATAATAACCTCCAATTATTATTATTATTATAAACCTGAATTTAACGGACTATTTCTAAAACACGGGATTTATATACACATCTGTCTAACCTGGATCGATTCGAATTGAAATCTACGAATAAAGTTTTTTTACAGACTTTATTTTTTGTTTTATATAACAAGATATCATATTAAAAATATTTTTCAATTTTGAAATTAAAGAAAGTGTACATTAAACACTTTGACTTATTTCTAAAACACAGTACTTGGGTATCGGTAAAACTATTTTAACGAGATGAATGTCTTCGCTATATTTTGGTTTATGTTGTTGAACGTTATTTCTTAAAACCAATCCTGAAATATTTAAGAAATAATGAGAATAACGTTTTTGGCGTTATACGGTATATACCGAAAAAATATGCGCATAGTTTTTCGGTATATACCATACAACCCAAAAATAATTATCGTTATATCTTATAATTATATTGAAAAGTCAGACAGCACATTAATTTTGCATAATGTTTTTTTTAAATCTCAAAACACATCAGTTCGCTGTGATTTCTACCAACCAGAATTTATAAGTTCTAATGTCTTGCCAAACATTGCGGTTTAAAACGACATTCCTTTTTTAATTAATCTTTTAAGCCTATTTTTTAGGGAATTGTGAAAATTAATTATTTGACTTATATGATAAACAATGATGTAAGTGTAACAATAATAAGGACAATATAAGAAATATACATGGTCATGGAGGACAAAACAGAATTAGAACTCTTTCAAGTTAGTATGGTTATTTATGGGAATAGATTACCAAGGAGAAATAAACAGATTGGAAATCGTTCGAGCACAACCTGATAGGTTATTTCGAGATTTAATTCTACCCCGATAATTATCTTAACCCTGTTTTTGAACTAATGAAATTCGAAAGAAAACTGAAAGAAATGATATCGGCAGCTTGACATACCTACAACGGTTTAAAAAAAAACGTCAATTGTCTAAAAAAAATATTATATGGTACTTATATCTATATTTAGACTCGTTTCTTAGAGTATCATTTAAATAAAGAGATGTAGTTAAATGCATTGAGTTTCTGTGTTCAGATTACAATGTAAGGAAAAATTGAAAACATGCCGGAGTTGATTACTCTAAAACAAGGAAGGCTTGTACAAATTATCTGACTTTTTTGCAGAAACTGAACTAAGTAACCCGAAATTAATTATAAATTACATTCAATTTCAAATGAATATACATAAAGGTAAAGTTCAGTATAAACATACCACAGCGTCAATTCGCCTGGATATCATAGCGTCAACTTGCCTGGACAATAAATATCACAACGTCAAACAAAGACAAAATAAATCAAAGCTTCAACACATGGACAAAATCATATCATAGCGTCCATACACCTGGATAAAATATATCCTAGCGTCAATACATGGGCAATAAAAAGCATAGCGTCAACACACAGGGAAAAAATATATTATAGCATCAACATATTGACAAAATGTATAAGGACAAAGGGAAAAGATATCTGAATGTCAACAGGCAAGGGTAAAATACAAGCTTATTGTCGTTAAGGCACATACGGTGTTGATTACAATCTTGAATTAGCCACATGCTATTACCTGGTCCCCGGGTTAAGAGGCATACATTGTTTTGCAAAATAGCTACGCCTACGTAGCTTTACGGTATTCCCAATACAATAAATATCGTATCCTTAGGAATGTGGGCGTGTGCATACACCTAACTACTGTGTCACTATATTTTGTTTAATATTATCGATATAATGTCTTGATCAGAAAAGCCTACGCTGAACAGCAACATCATTATTCTGACATTTATCTTCTTGATAATATTAAGAACGAAAACGAATTATCTGTTTTATTTCGCAATTGCCAAAGTAAGTGTCGTTCGAATCCTAGTAAAAATCGACCATGAATACAAAATTCTGGTGAAAGAGGCTTTTTGAAATTTGTTCAGTTCTATGACGAATTTCCATAAAGTATCACTCAAATCTTTGAGGGAGACTTACATTGTAATACAATTCGCCACAAGCAAAGAAAATATGACGAGCGGACTGTGCATAAACTACAACAGGTATGTTATTTCTTATTTTGCTTAACAACCGAATCCGAGGCAGAAAGGTTGAGAAAGAAAAACAAGTTTTTTTTAACATATACAGTAGATAATCTAAAAACAGGTGACTGAATTCTGGTGATATGTTTCTACGCATTCCATAGCATACTTTGTTAAAGTGTCTGTATTATGTCTTTAAACGCATTTAATGTTATAAGTTTACATACAAAAGATTTTGTCGACAGTAAATACATTTTAAGGCACTCTTTTTTATTTGTATGTCACTGAAACGCATAAAATATCCCTTAAATGTGCATAGAACGCATGCGCACAGTGTATTCTGGATTAATTAGTCAAAATTTAACAGTCATGCGCACACGAATACTTTAACAAGAATGTATAAAAGGCTGCAGTAAGATCGATCCGCAGCATCGTGTATTTCTTTTTGAATATGGGTAGCAGCAGTAGCGAAATCAACCTTGATACTATCAATAAACCCTTGGAAAATGAGATTCATGACGCAGAATGCCGTTTCGAACCAAGAGAAGTTACCTTTGTTCAAAATAACGGTTTGGATGACAAAACTTATCATATTTTAGCTTTATTTAGGAACTGCAAAAAAGGTTGCAGACACTCCAAAAAGAATACATTTGAAAAATATGAAAAAACCAAAGAAACTTTTTATAAGTCAGATATTACTGACTGCAATATTCAACTTCATCAGCGAGGATATTCAATGTGTGAAATATTCTGGGAGAAACGTTATGAAGATGACGGATCTGTGGGATATGTACAGAATGAACAGTGCTATTGTTTAGAGGACAGAACTGTTAAATCAGAGGATTAAAATTCATCTTGTGAGTATATGTGGCAATCAACAGATGAAATAAGATATTACGTTATTATTACTAATTATTGTTTGTGTAGTAATGTATACATTTGTTATAACAACTGAAAATATAGTTTTTACTATTTTGGGTAGATGATGTATTACATTTTTGCTGCGTAGGGCTTGGCTTTATACTAATTTATCGAGATAAACTGATTGAGAGAGAGAGTGTTATATTCCAATGAACAAAAATGTACTTTAACGTCTGTGTGTTAGGATAAAAATAACAATAACATCAAAATATGTTGAAAACTTCATTAATGGAACTCAGCAAAAAATATGTAGCTATGATTTTGGTAAAAAAAAAAATAGTCTTCACCTGTATGTATTTTGATGAAATTGATGTCAAGAATATTTTTTTCCTGTTAAAACATCCAGTTAAGTTGAAAGAAATGATAGGTTCGTTAGTGAATTTTGTGCATTCATGACATGTAGTGATTAACCTCGAACTTCATTTGTTTTTATGAGAGTGATGTTAGGATTAATTGTATCATTATCTTGGGTTTAAACATCAAGTTGATGATCGAAAGCAATGACCACGATGACAAAAACATCAGGTCCGACAGTGACTTTGTGCAGCCAAAATTACGGTAGATTATACAAAAAATACATCTGTAGCAAGTATAAAAGTTATCCTACACCGTATCGAATCAGTTATACATCTTTACTAAACCTGCCTCTTTCATTAACGTCAATATTGTTTAGATAATGAATGCATGCTGCACTCATAACCAATGTGTTTTTTTCTATTTAGATGTTGTTGCGACAGTCACTATCCATGCGACTGTGCTGGTGTAGCAGGATGGATCAACCAGCACAGAAAGAAAGACACTGACAGAAAAACGTCGATACGATTAAGGATATTATTTTATATTAATGAACTGCATGAGTGAATTATACGTCTGTCCTCATATGCGAAGTATTACACTTATACAACATTATACTGGAAAAGAAAAAAACATAGAAAAATTTGTAACATGTATATTATATGCCAATATGCTTATTAAGTTTAAATATAACAAAGTTATATTCAATATCAGCTGAATGTAAATTTATATAGGAAACAACCCAGAAATAACCATAATCAATAATAAAAGTGTCAAAAAATGTAATTTCAACTTTTTGTTATAAATAATTTAAAAAAAACAATGTCTTACAATGATACCTGACGATGGTTCGAGGGGGAGGGGGGGGGGGGGGACAAGCGGACCC